TTGAGGTCAAATTTAAAGGTTATTAAAACGTCAAAGTGATTTTTTTATGAAAATACTTACTTTCCTCGCCAATCTTACTTTTAGCGTTACCCAGAAACAACGACGTGGAGGTAGTAAGTTCTGTTTCCTTTAGGGTGCTTGTTTACCGTGAGTCCCCTTGCCTCTCACAATTTGGGTGCTTGTTTATCATGAGTCCCCTTGCCTCTCACGATTGGGATGCTTGTTTACCGTCAGTCTCCTTGCCTCTGACTTTAACCATATTAAAGCAAGTGTTCAAAGTTGCCTCCATTAGCTTCAAAACACAAATTTACACACCTTTGGAAATGTTGCACTGTCATTAGCAAAGTTTCCCTTGGGATTGCAACACAGGCTCAACGAATACGGTCTATCATGTCTTCTCTGGTTGTTGGCCGTTGTGTAAAAACAACATTTTTTAAGAAGTCCCATAAATAGAAATCGGGAGATGTCTGGTGAGCACGGAGGCCAGTTAACTGGACCTCCTCGTCCAATCCACCTCTCATTATAATTCTCATTTAGAAATTCGCGTACTATAAGCGCAAAGTGGGGTGCTGCACCATCTTGCTGTAACCACATTCTCTGCCGTGTTTCTAAATCGACATCCTCCAAGAGCTCTGGCAATCCATCCCTAAGCAATTCCAAATAGGTATATCTATCGACATTTCCCTCAAAAGCATAAGGTCCGATCACGTAACCGTTTATTATGCCACACCATACGATAACGCTCCATCGATGTTGATGGTCCACAGTCCTGTGCCAGTGGGGATTTTCATTGGACCAGTAGTGGCAATTGTGCCTATTTAGTTGACCGTCACTGTTAAATGTAGCTTCATCAGAAAACATCACATACCTAAAAAACTGAGAATCATTTTCTATCATTCTTAAAGCCCACTGGCAAAACTCAATACGCATTTTAACGTGATTTGGCTTTAATTCCTGAAGTAAAGTTATGTGGTATGCATGATATTTAAGATTTCTCAGAATTCGTAAAGCCGTTCTTCGTGGTATACCAATTTCCCTTTCAATTCGGCAACTGCTAATGTGAGGATCGAGATAAATTGCTGCTAGGACAGTCACAACACGAGGATCAGTTTCGTTGTATTCGTGGCGTCTGCGTTCACGAGTCAGATGTCCACCGCGAGCTCTTTCAGTTAATCTGCATATTGTCATGTGATTAGGTCGTCTCCTTAAAGGAAATCTTTCAACGTACAGCCATGCCGCTGCACGGTAGTTGTTGTGACATTCTCCTAAAACCATTACCATATCAATAATTTCATTAGGAGGATAATCAGTCATAATGAAAATTTTAATTTAAAATGAAACTACTTTGTTAACTTTTAATCTCTATTTTAATTGAAATAAAATGAAAATAAGAAAATATTGATACTAATAAAACTCAAGAAATAATGAACGGCCAATCCGCGCTTGTCTCCCTATATGTCTTAACATAATGACATAACTTTACTTCAGGAATTAAAGCCAAATCACGTTGAAATGCGTATTGAGTTTTGCCAGTTGGCTTTAAGAATGATAGAAAATGATCCTCAGTTTTTTAGGTATGTGATGTTTTCTGATGATACATTTAACAGTGATGGTCAACTAAATAGGCACAATTGCCACTACTGGTCCAATGAAAATCCCCACTGGCATAGGACTGTGGACCATCAACATCGATGGAGCGTTATCGTATGGTGTGGCATAATAAACGGTTACGTGATCGGACCTTATGCTTTTGAGGGAAATGTCGATAGATATACCTATTTGGAATTGCTTAGGGATCGATTGCCAGAGCTCTTGGAGGATGTCGATTTAGAAACACGGCAGAGAATGTGATTACAGCAAGATGGTGCAGCACCCCACTTTGCGCTAATAGTACGCGAATTTCTAAATGATAATTATAATGAGAGGTGGATTGGACGAGGAGGTCCAGTTAACTGGCCTCCGTGCTCACCAGACATGACATCTCCCGATTTCTATTTATGGGGCTTCTTAAAAAATGTTGTTTTTACACTGCGGCCGGAAGGGAAACTTCGCCAGTCACTCCGGACTCAGCCTCGCCGACGTCGAGCACACGCGGGAAGACGAAACCCCACAATATGAAATAGCGAGTAAGTTGCGTTAGAAATAGTACAAAATAAAACGATAAAAATACAACAAAAAAAATCAATTAATAGATATAAATATACACATATACATATATTAAGTAGTAATGTAAGAAACATTGGGGTTAAGTGTTTAAAACCGCAATAAGAGCGGCTGCCCGCATAAGGGCTAAAATCAAAGAAGACTAAAGTTTAATTTCACGCAATAAAGAAAGTTATTTTTATTTTGTTAGAGGCACTTAGCCTCAATAGTTTCGTAAAAACCGGAACATGCAAAACAAACGCGGCACAAGCATGTTAAATGGCAAAGCGCGATTGGGCCGAAAAAACAGGGGGTCCGCGAAATTGCAAATTTATAGAGAAATAATTGCAGGATCGAAAAACGCGACCGCTATGTACAAATACGACTAAAAACGAATACATTTAACCGAACAAGAACGGATAACATATACCGGACGTATCCGAAATCCTGTTAGGGAACCATACACTATGAGCTATCGACCGCTATGTCTGGATAGGACTAGGAACGAATACGGGAGCCAAAGATAGACTCAGGATATATACCGGGTGTGCCCAAAATCCTGTTGGGCACAGTAAATTTCGAGATAGCAAAAAACGCTACCGCTATTGCCGCTTATGACCAGTGGGGAGCACAATCGCAAAATATAAGCACCCGGAATACACCGGGTGTGCCCGAATTCCTGTTGGGGCATAACGGATTAAAAGGTAGCGAAAAACGCGTCCGCTATAATCAATTGAGTCCAGAGAGCAACATATCCACCGAATACGAACTCGATAAGTATACCGAGTGTTCATAAGATTTCATTGTGACATCATAGAGACCAATACTCACTTATGTTAATATTGTATATAGATAGAGGGGTTGCAGCCGGGAAATATTGTTAACCTGTAAATAAAATTTTATACTTACCTGTAACTCCAGCGGGAGAACACGGGCGGCAGCATCCTTCCAAGATGACATGTACCTGAAAATAAAAGGAAAAACTTAGATTAAAAAACAATAACTACAAAATGCAGGGACATAATTAAATAATATAGCTGATAAGGATAAGCGGACAGCGCGAGCGCTCACAGCGCGTAAAGCGAACGCACTGATACAAGCGAAATGGAGGGGATAAGCGAACGATGCGAGCGCGAGAAGAAGACGCGCAGACGCGAGCGCGATAGAGGGGATGAGCGACCGAGATAAAAAGGCGAGCGGGGCAGTCGGAAGAGGAATCGTATTAGGAGTGGCTTTCGTATTGGCATTCGAGAGAAGTAAGAGAATTCGGCAGCGAGGAGTAGCTAACGCGCGGATGAGTGGAACATTCTTTGAGGCGTTATCGAGTTTCGTCGTCGGGGACTATTGTCCGCAGATAAACCGAGCCGACCGATGGTCATCCGAGAGTAGTGAGCGGGACCGTTCCGAGCGCGAGTCCGACAGCAGCGAACGCGGTAGCGAACGGGGGTTCACATCCATGCTAACAGTCCGGCGTTAGACGAATAAGCGCGATTAACAAAAGCCGAGGACGCGAGCAGTGCATGTAATGAGAGGCGTGCGTATCCGGCGCAATCACCCAGAGGGGCGTTACGCAAACGAATGTAAACGTGAGCGGCAGAAACTTTATGAATAATACAAGTGATGTTGGTTGCCTGCATACAGTGAATTATTATTCAATAAAAACCTTTCCCTCTGCGACCGAGATAACTCAAGGTGAGTCGACTCAGTCGTGCAGGGGACAAGTGAGGCTGGTGACTTCTGGGGCCAGAAATGCAGACTTTCTCCTTTGGAGGGTTAAAAAGAGTAGCGACCGGGACAAAGAAGAAGAAGTGGGACCGAATAGCGCAAACAAGCTTCGAGTCCGGGTACAACACAACGGCCAACAACCAGAGAAGACATGATAGACCGTATTCGTCGAGCCTGCGTTGCAATCCCAAGGGAAACTTTGCTAAAGACAGTGCAACATTTCCAAAGGCGTGTAAATTTGTGTCTTGAAGCTAATGGAGGCAACTTTGAACACTTGCTTTAATATGGTTAAAGTCAGAGGCAAGGGGACTGACGGTAAACAAGCACCCCAATCGTGAGAGGCAAGGGGACTCACGGTAAACAAGCACTCAAATTGTGAGAGGCAAGGGGACTCACGGTAAACAAGCACCCCAAAGAAAACAGAACTTACTACGTTCACGTCGTTGTTTCTGGGTAACGCTAAAAGTAAGATTAGCGAAGAAAGTAAGATTTTTCATAAAAAAATCACTTTGACGTTTTAATAACCTTTAAATTTGATCTCAAGGTCAAGATAGCCAAGGCCGTTGGCCTCCAAACCTACTAAAACATTTGTTCGCCCATAAATGTTCTAAAGTTTGAAGAAAACAGCTTCTGGACGATTTTTCAACATTTGACCTTCTGAAGGTCACTTTAGCAAATTATCAAACTATCATTTCTGACGTAAAATTTCCCGCTCTTTCCGAATCCGGTGTCAAAAATAGGGGTTCTCATTTAAAAAATTATGTTGACCTTCAAATAACCTTAAAAATTAACCTTAAGGTCAAAACCAATAATGCAGAAAGATGACCCCAATTGTCTTGAACAACTTTTGTTTAAACAATTTTTTGTATAGCGCTTACTTTTGGAGATATTTGGGTGGATCGATTAAAATGGCCCACCCTGTATATACGAGGTCTGTCCGGAAAGTATCGGGCCTACCTTTATATTTCCGCGCCATAGTGTTCGAGCGACCTCTGCGGGGCATGAACGTCAACAGTAAAGCCTCACGAACCTATCGGTTGCTTGCTGATATCTGCCGGACGTATAATTCATGTGCAGCGTGTCTTTGTTTACAAAGCTGTTTTTGAGTTCCGCGGATTTTGTGATTGTTAAAAATGACTGAAAAACAAGATCAACGAATTTGCATCAAATTTTGTTTTCAACTCGGAAAAACGAGTTCGGAAACTATTCAGATGATGCAGAAGGCCTTTGGGAATGAGTGTATGAGCAAAACACGAATAAAAGAGTGGTATAATCGTTTCAAAGGAGGCCGCACTTCTGTTGATAGTGAATCTCGTTCTGGCCGACCTTCGACGACAAAAACATTGGATAATATTGAGCGGGTGCGACTTGCGATCGAACAAGATCGTCGTATGACTGTGCGGGAACTAGAAGAAGAACTTGGAATACCAAAAACTATAATTTGGGAAATTTTAACCTCAAATTTACAAATGACACGCGTGTGTGCGAAGTTCATTCCGAAATTGCTCAGAGCAGAGCAAAAAAAGCTTCGCTTAGAAATCGCTCAGGACAACTTAGAAATGGTCAATAACGATGATACTGTACTTAAAAAGGTTATTACTGGTGATGAATCATGGGTTTACGGTTACGAACTAAACAACAATCTTCACAGTGGAAG